TCAGAACCCCTCTTGGCAACCACTCGGAAGTGCATTAGACATCATCACACAAGGGTCATGTTACCTTTGGAGTCTTGACTGGAAATACAAGCCACTTTGAGGTGAGAAACAATGTACTACTAACTAGTATAGGCTTCACCAGGTTACTTCTGGCACATGATCCTCTTGCTCAGAGGAAGAAATGCTTTAACTTCTTTTAGCTACTTCAGAGCTTGGGTGTTTTGGCTTTAATCTTTCTCGATTAGATCTTTCCACATCCTTCCTTGTGCTCCAGGCATGTGGAATATTCCACAACTAAGTTTTCATTAATTCATATTTGCTTCTGATGAAATCCATTGGTTATGTGCTGACCCATATCTCCCTGACAAATATACCTTCAAACTCTGATACATAAAGTCCGACTCCCTCCATAACAGCTCCCTCATGCAAACAACGGGTCTCTGAAACTTTGGGACATCTTACAACCAATGAATGGGGGCATCGCCTAACTGGCAGTATTTCTTCCGCTAGTGGTACATAAAATGAAAGACTTAAAACTGACGATGTCTTAGAGCCAAAAGATGATCACAGTCCAACTATCATTTAAACAGCAGGCTTGGTTCTTATTTTTATTCTCTAAATTAAACTTTTTATAATTTCTTCACTTTATAAAAAAGTCAGTATCGCAAACAAAACAAACAAAACAGCAAAACTCAACATACAAGACCATTTACAAACATTTCTGAAATGTTATGGGGTATTTTTTGAGCATAATGAAATGGTACTGAAATGACTGCATATTGAGCACACAATGGCTAGCAAACATTTTTTTCAAAAATTTTAACTGCAAGACTATCTTGAAAAGTACCCCTTTGAAAAATAAGGGTGGTCATTGACCATCCTTAGTCATTCCCAGTGAATTATCTCCCGTGCTTTCCCACCAAAGGGCCTCGGGGGTCTGGGTAAAGGAAGGGAAGGGAAGACACTGATGAGATTCGGTTGAGAGCAGTTAGCAGGGCTCATTGTAATCACCATTCTCCTGAGAATAGTGAGCCAACTCAGGTGCATGAAGGGGAATCTCACTGCCAGTGAGAAGCACCACGGGGACTCAAATCCCTGTGCCCTGAGCTTCCTTGAGCACTGCTGACGACTGGAAGAGCCCATTGGAGGCGCTGTGCTTCCCGGGAGGCAGAGGCAGGTTGGGTGAAAGATCAAATGCGGGCAGAGAGAAGGGAGCAGTCCCTGAGAGGCAGCCCCTGAAAGCCAAGATGACCACCTCTCACCCTCACTCCGGGTCTGCGTGCAGGCACCATTTTAATGTCCTAAAGCCATAATCAACGGGGCTCATTTCAAATAGTCTGGACAGGGACACCTAACAAGGATCAAGTGACCACCACTCACTGGCATGGTCCACAAGATTTGGCACAGAGAAAAGGCTCTCCACTGTCTTTGAAGCACCCACCATGCTCAAAGACACGTCCTCATGGGACTTGTGAAAATGGGTTCTAGGCAAGGCCTAGCACCGTGTGAGCTGCTAACGACGTAACTCACTAGACGGCAGACTCGTCGCTCACCCAGCAGGGGACCCACGGCAAACAGCCGAGGAGAGACCTTTGAACGTTTGCCTCAATGGGCACCTTCGTCATCATCTGCTCATTTCACTCAGGAGTGCTTGTTTCAGAAAAGCAGCTTAAAGATCCAAATCCAATGCGTATTTACTTGACTACCCATTCAGTGCAGACAAGGTAGTCAGCCACCTTTTCAAGCTGTGTACAACAGAGAGCGAGGGTCTCTTTAATCGCCATGCGCTATAAGAAAAAATGCAGCCTTTAAAATAGATCAAGGTCGAAAAGGAGAAGATGCAAGAGCCCCATGCCTTTGAGAGTCAGAAACATCTCTCAGCTCATCAGAGCGCTCAACTGGAAGGAACTTTTAGATAAACTCTTGTATCTAATCTTCGGGGAAGACTCTCACCTTAAGGGACAGCTCTGCTTCCCCTTGAGAAAAACTAAAAGGAGAATTT